GGTGTACCTAATAAAGTGGCCGGTGAGTGTATATACCTTCATATCAGGTGTGTTGGAGCAGAGAAACAAGTAAAACATGCAGGGCTGCGGCCCTCCAGGACCAGGATTGCCCACCCCTGCAATAGACAAAAGGAAATGCTGTTTTTGGGCTCAAGAGTTTAAAGTCAAATAATCAGATTTTTAGTGAAAGTTTTTTTAACCTTATTTGCTGCATTGAGAAAAAACGTTTCTCTCATAGGTTCATATTTCAGGATGATTGTGCCGATGTTTGGATTGATTTTTCTCCTCCAACATGAAGTATATGTTCTAGTTATGTTGATGGCCCTAAAAATAATCTGATGGGACATTCCTGCTGTGTGTGGTGTATTCAAAGTGATTTAGTCGGCTCAGAAAGGCATCAGGACCGCTCCGACTTCAAACTGAGGATCTTCAACATGTTGCTGAATTCTCGCGAGATTTCAAGAGATTTTGTGTGATTTCCCACCTGCCATGAAATCTGTTGGTTTGTGGAAGTAATGAATGCTGATGATGAGTCTTTTTTTCTTTTTCTGTTAGGTTTTAAATGTTCTACATAAAACATATTCTATAAGAATGATTTGTTATATATGTTTTCTTCAATAAATATTAGCAAAACTTGGCTTTATTTTGGAGCAAGTTCTGAATTTTAGTTCCCTTCTGTAGCCAAGTTTGACCCGCGATCTAAGCTTAACCTGGTAAAATAATACTTGGTTTGGTTAATCTGCTATTCAGATCAGTTGAGTTTAGCAAACATGGGTTAGCTTAATGGAGCTGCTAGCTAAACAATAAAAAGAACAGCTGCTGAACTGAAAAGTATCCTAATCATAAAGAGAAATTTATCTAAAAAGCTACAATTCATTTGAATTTTATGCAACACTTTTTTCTTTTTTCTCAAAGTTTGTTCATCAAACGAGTTGAAACCCTGAGCGTAGTGAACGTGATCCCTCAGGTAAGTAAGTACATTTGATTGTTTCCTGTTTGTCCTTCTTTTCTTTTTTTGTTCCAACACAATCAGGAGATCACGTCAGTGTTACAGTCCGGTGTTTGTCGTCGCACTTATTGATTCGAGCTGATTAAAGCAGCCTCTTTTCAAGCCCGTGGCGCCTTTCAACAGCCTGCTGTGTAACGTGTGTTAATATTTTTGTTGAAGGAAGAGCTAAAAAAGGAGAGGTTTATTCCAACAAAGGCCCTGGTTCTGCCTGTTGTGTGGGCTGTGTGGCTGCGTGAAAACCAGCTTTCATCTTTTCTTTCTCCCTCTACATCAACCTCACCTCCACCAACTCAGTGTCAAGTCCTGCTATGAGACACACACTGATCTGTCTGTGTGTGTGTGTGTGTGTGTGTGTGTGTGTGTGTGTGTGTGTGTGTGTGTGTGTGTGTGTGTGTGTGTGTGTG